CCGCACCGCCGAGCGGAGCGGAGCGGAGCGGAGCCGAGCGGACCCTCCCCGCCGCGCTCTGGCCCTCGCTGCAGCGCGGGGCTGCACAACGTGACATGGCGAGAGGGCTGCCCGCCCTGGGGGCGGCGGGACTCTGTGTCCCCATGCCCGGAGCCCTGCGTGCCCCGGGGAGGGGGGAAGAGCCCCTGCCCGTGGTAGCGCCAGCCCCTGCGCGGGGGTGAAGGGAGAGGGCGGYTGTAGCCCCTCTTGTGGGGAGGGGGCACCTGCTGCTGGGCGCTGCTTCTGCTCGGAGCGGCTGCTCCCGCCGCGCACATGGATGCGCAGGTTCCGACCTTGCCCAGTTGCTGGGGAAATGGCGCCCGCCGCTTTCCCGAGCACAGGGCAACAGCGGGAGGCTGCAGCAACGAGGGAGGCTGCAGCCCGCGCTGCTCCCTGTGCGCTCCTCGCATCCCCTGTGCCGGGGCCGGGCAGCGGGGAGGGCTGCGCTGTTGCTGGGGCCATGCRGAGGGCGCAGCGGATTCTCCGCCCGGCCCCTCTCCCTGCACCTCGTGGGGCTGCGCGGGGCCCGGCTGCCCTCGGGCTGCTCAGGAGGCTGCCCTTTGGCCCCTGCCCTGCCAGCCCCCCAGCCTTGGAGGCCCCTCGCTGCCCCAGCCGGGTGGTCTCTGCTGGCGCCAGCCCACCCAGCCTCCCCGCGGCCGCCCGCCACAGCCACAGTAGGCTGCGCAGCGTGGCGTGAGCACCATGTTAATAAGGAACTGGGGAGGCCGCTACTCGCGGGACGTGACAGCGGAAATCCTGCCTACCGCGCCGCGCTGCCGGCTCGCATCCCTGCGGCTGCGGCGCGCCCATTGGCTGCCGGCACGCCGGGGCCCGCGCCGGTGCCGGCGCCGCAGCCCAGCGCTGAGGGAGGGCTGCCCGCGTGCCGGCCATTGCTGCCCTGCGTGCCGGCCATCGCTGCCCTGTGTGATGGCTCTCACTGCTCTGCATGCGGGCCATCACTGCCGTGCGCGATGGCCCTCATTGCCCCGTGTGCCGGCAGCTGCTGTGCGAGGCCAGATTGCTGCCGGCTCCGCGCTGAGACCTAGCGCGCGTGTGAAAGCAGCCCTTCCCTGGGGAGGGAGCTCTGAGCACAGATAGCGTGCGCCSAGCGGAGGCACACGGGGAGATGTGYGAATACGGGGGATGCGGAGCTGGGGCCGGGTTGTGCAATGCGGCGGATGAAACCTCCTCCCTTCRCAGCTCAGTTGGGCAGGGCTTTTGGGTCAGCAGAGCAGCATCCCCGAGGATGGGAAGGATGTGACGGGCTGGGGGATCGAAGCAGATACCAGGGGGGTCTGGCGATGGGTCACCCAGCTCAGACGTAATCCAACGCTCCTTATCCTGCTGCTATTCCCGGTGCTGCCAAGGGGCAGGCAGCTAAGTTTAGCCCCAGCTGAGGTTACGACCTTTTCTTAAAGGCCATGGGGGATAGCTTATGTGCTGCAGCAGTGGAGCTGGAGGTTGCAGCGAGATTGAAGGATCCTGTGCCTGCCTCGTTTGAGGCATCCCAAACATAACCTGCAAAGGGCCAGAAGAGGGGTCAGGGGAGCTTTTGGGGGTTGACTTAAACTTTTGCACAAACAGGAGGCCTGCTGTTTGCTCAGCAAACAGAGACATCACTGAGTATTTTGTGCAGGGGGGCAGAGTGCAGGCGGGAAGAGCCAACACGGCAGATCCCAGCCCAGGTGCCCCTGAGCCTGACCCGCAAACAGAGGGGTTTCGGGGCTCCCTCCAGCTCCTGGAGCCTGTGCTGGTGGGGAGAGGGGTACCCCCAGGCCCTGGCTGCAGCACCTGGGGGGCAGCTGGGCGCTGAGCACGGCTGCAGGCAGTGGGAGGGGATGGAGGCAGCAAGCTTGGCCTGGGAAAGCTTGGAGCTGCCTTTCCAGCTATCTCCTAATTGCCGAATGAGGCGGAATCCATGCACGTGGCCTTGGCAAGGGGCGTGAGAGGGATGGTTGTAGCTGCAGGGGTTCGGAGAGCCTCTTGGCTGTGTCTTTGTGGCGCTTTGGGGAGGCAGAGGCAGAAGGGCGCCTCCGGCTCAGGGCTCACCAAGGTTATCCGGGGTGATGGGCGACGCTTGGCTGTTATATAACCGTTAGGCCCGGCGGAGCCGGCCGTTGGTCACTCRCGGTGCTGGCAGGCGGCCGCCCGACACCGACAGGGCTCCGGAGTGACACAGGCAGCGCCGCAGACACGCGGGGCTGTGAAATGGCTCCCGGGGCTGCGGCTGGGAGCCCCAGGGAAGGGCAGCGTGGGCCCAAAATGGCCCCGCAGCGCGGGAGGGCTGCCCACCGCCACCACTGCCGCCGCCGCCTGGCCACCCGGGGCCTCGGGCTCTGCCGCCACCTCCCGGCTGTRGGCAGGTGCCGGGGCCGGGGCAGGCCCTGGCTCCCTGCTCGCTCGTGGCGCGCGCGAGGCCYGACAGGAGCTGCCGCCGCTTGCGGAGGCGGCGCTGCTGCTGCTGCGGCCTTTGGGCAAATGCTGCCGCGCCTGGACGAGACAGACGCACCATACAGTTCGCTTTAATTAGCAGCTCAGTTCTTAAGCACAAATGGTAGGAGAGGGAGAGCGGCCGAGGCCCGTGAGCCCCTGACAGCTGGGCGGCGGGCCCTGCCAGCCAGGTGGAGGGGCGGCCGCGCACGCCGGGGGTCCTGGCGCTGCGGGGCCGTAGCTGAGCCGAGCAGCCCCGGTGCTCGGCCTGCTTTGCACCACTTCATAACTCCCTGCCGCACGGGCCCTGCAGCCGGCAGCTCGGGGCGGGGGTTAGGGCTCCAGCGGCGCTGGGCCACACTCCTTCCATGTGTTGTGCCCTGCGGGTGCTCCGGACGCCCCAGTCTCCTGTGCCTGGGAAGAAGCAACAGGAGCCTCGCAGCGGCGCCCAGCCSACCTGCTCCCCTGGCCACCACCCAGGTCCCGAGGGCTGGTAGCACAGGGGCCTCTAGCCTCCTGTCCCACGGAAGGAGCAGGCCGCGCTCTGACTTTGGCCCTCCAGCCGTCAACTGGTGTCACACTGTGCCCCATCACCCGCTGGGTTCAGCTCACATCCCTGCTCCCCAGCTCCCCCCACTCCCTCTCCCCAGGGGCTGTGCTCTGGAGTTCCCCTCTTCTTTGCTGCCCTCACTGTGGCCTCTCTCACCTCAGGGTTTCTCCAAGGCTAGCACCCCAAACCACTGAAGGTCCCGATCCGGTCCATTTTCASTCCAAAGCAGCCCCTGGGCATGGCCTTCCAGGCCCACTCCCCAGCCAGCGCCCACTTGCGACTGGCCAGAGCCTTGCGCCAGAGCGAGAGCCGGGCGGCTCTGGCCCCAGATGGGAGGAAAGGGAGCGCGGAGGAGGGTGATGGAAGTCCAAAGCTGGACCCTTCCTTCGTGTCCTCTTCAGCCAGCATAGATTCCGTGTCCAGGGGCAGCAACTGGGAAAGGAGCATCTGGAAAAAATGGGGTAAAGAGAGGAGACAAGGGTGAGACTTGTATTGCTGGCGTGTCTGTGTCTCATTTCTCTATCCTGGTGACAACTGGACCAGCCCCTCCTACCAGAGTCTGTCGCTGCAGGCTTGCGTGTGTGGGTTGCTTGCCCTGCTGCTGTCAGACAGGTCCTCCTGACCTTGAGAAGTAATTTCAGTCTTCAGTCCTTGATCTTGCTGATGCTGAGCTGCTGTTTATGCTTCCATCTGCTCAGATTTTTTTTTCTGTCACTTTTTTGTTCTTTTTTTTTTTCCCCCAGAGGGCAGGAGGAACAGACCTACCTGAAACACCTGGCACTAAGGAGGGGCAGGAGCCGAAGCGGGTGTGAAGAAAGAGGTTCTTCATCATCGGGGCAGTGTGTAGCCTCCCTGGGCAGGCGGGGTGTGCTGGTTATACCCCTCAGGCCCTGCAGTGCTCTGGCTTCAGGCAGGTGAGGGTCGGGAGGCGTTGGGTCCAGGGGGTTTATTAACCCAGCGCTTGGCACTATTGCCCAGGGAAGCTGCCTGCAGTAACTATTCCATATTGCTTCCATCCTATATGCCCGTGGTTACTGACTTAAGGGTGGAGAGCCCTTGCGTGGTTCAGCGCCATCCTTTCCTGCAGCAAGTTAACTGAACCGGACAAAGGCATCTTCAGCAAGGAATAAAAGCCTCTGCACGGTGAGTCAGAACAGAGTCGGTCTTGTTCTTTTTTTAGTTCACCTCCTGAATAATTTACTGTCACTTTGCTTCTAGGACCATGTAGTCAGGGCAATGTTAGCACAAGGCGTTGGAGTTCAGGGTAGGATTTGGGTAGGGGGCAGCTGGAAAATCATAAGCAGTGTTTCTATAGTAGGTGAGGGTAAAAGTGAAGGATTCCTTAGCTAGTGTCCTGATACTGGGACACTAATATATACATGCATATACATGTGCAGCGAGGCCCTTGGGCCTTGAAGAGCGGTTGTGGTGRTAACTGAGCTTAGGAGAGGATATCCCAAACCAATAGGATGCACCTTTCCTCTGAAATGTGCCAGAACCAGGTCACTGAACATGGTAGATAGCTGCCAATTATAATATTTGTTGCAGCTGATTGCATTTTATGCCAAAATCCCTCCACAAACATGCTTGCCATTAGTGCAAGGTAGGGCTGATTTAATACCAGTCTCTATAGTTAAAAGCTCTGCAGACAGCATGGAGAGCCCCACAGTCAACCTGCTCGCCCATAGCAAAGCACACTGGAAAGCTTCTATCCGTCTCCTTACCTTGAAATGCTAATGCTYTTCCAGGGCTGAGTCATAAAAAGATACAGTTATCCTAGAGCTGAGGCTGATGGGCTGAAGCTAAGGCAGCCATAAGAACAGACAACAGCCTCTGGCTGCTGGAATTTGGGATCCGCACTCATTCCAAGTTCAAACACATTCCTCAAGTTGCTCCTGGCACTCTTGAAACCTCCCTCAGCTCTGTCCCAGTCCCTCCTACCTGTAGCCTGTGTCCCGGTAGGGACACAGAGTGAACGCTGGCCGAGAGCAGAGCCGGGAGGAGGAGAAGCGAGCAAGGCCACGAGTGGAGCCCCAGCATGTTCTGCTTGTCCCAGGGCTCGTGGGAGGTGAGGCAGGAGCTACCGCATCTGCCTCCCCTGCGAGCCTGTCCTCTCGCCGCCTTTATAGCTGCGGTTGTGTCGGCGCCTGGCCCCCAGCTCCTGCTGAACTACCCCCTGGAGCTCCTTAACCTTTCAGCCCTTTTGTCCCTGGTGATATATTTCAGGGTGAGCTCAGCAAAACCCCCTCCTCCAAAGAAAAAGGACACAAAGGTATTTACTGAGTGTCTGGGAAGACAAATGTGAGTTGAGCTGCTGCTGCTGCCCGGGCTCTGGAGGTGTCTGGCAGGGTCAGGAACAGGGTGAGACCTTGAGCCACATCCCCAAGAGAAGAATCGAAGGCTCAGTATATAGATGATATCAAACATCCTCCTCTTAGGCAGAGCGCTGTTAGTGTTCTTTCTTCAATCGACGTAGGCACGAACTCCAGCTCAGCTAGCAAAAGTCACCTCGCTGACTGCACAGAGCTGTCACAAATTCGGCTTTGTGGCAATGCAGGTTCTCCTGCTGCTTTTACCCCTTATACTTTGGTGAGCGGTGGCCTGAGAACGAAGAGCCCTTGTTGCAGATGGTGTGCAATGGGGGCGCACTAACTGCACGCAGTTTGGGGTAATGGGTCCAGCGAGAGTGGGCAGATAACTTGCACCCCGGTTTTCCCGAGTCATTACTCACGGGAATCATCTGGAGGGCCTGGGCTGAGTTTCCCGAGGAACCAGCACAGAATAGAGCTCGTCAAGGCTGGACTCGCATTTTCTCAAGCGCAGTCACACAAAGGAAGCAGGACAGCACGGAGCAGATTCCGACCTCCTAAATCTTCTGGCGATTAGCTCTCCCCCTTTGTTTGCCTCTCCCATTTTAGGGCAGTTTCTCACCAGTCAAAGAAGGCAATGAGGTCACTGTTTGGAGACCACAATGCAGAAGTCAGCCTGGGTATGAAGRCAGAAACTAACCAGGAGAGTTTGTCAGGGGAGAGGAAGAGGGGACAGTACCCCAATACAGGAAGAGCAGTGGATGTGCTGGATGGCTTTAATAATGCTTAAAAYGTCCCCTTCACTGCAGAAGGTAATTTGTGCAGAAGTTGACAGGAAATATTCTACTGTCTGCTTTCTGCTTGTTTTGTTAAGAAGAAAATTACAAGTCTTATGTAGAGACAAGTCTTTGTCCTGTCCTCCTTTTCATCCCTCTCTCCCTCACAACAATTCTCCACTTGTAGGTGTAGGTTTGTGGGTCCTTCTGCGGCCAAGGACCAGGATTCAGACAGTTGCACCACCATTCTGCTGAACACCTTCTCCCAGGGAGGCGAGCGCGGGGCTGCAGTCCGGAGCACGGAGGCTGCAGCGCGGGCAGGAGCGATGCTGCACGGGCGGTGCCGGGGGGACACCGCCAAGGACGCCGGCTCTGCCTGATCCCTGGGATCCCGACCGGTGCTTGTTCCCAAGCGGCGCTCCCTCCGGCGCTGCCGCCCGGCAGTGCTCGGTGCCCCCCGGCTGGGGCTGCCCAGGGCCCAGGGAGGCTGGCGAGGCGCCCTGCTCGCGGGCACYGCTGAGACGTTGCACGGCAGACAAGATACCTCTGGCGCCAGCCCTTGGAAGACAAAGGGGAAGGTGAACGGCTGCTGGGTAGTCACTGCATGTGCTGTCCGCCTGGATATTCCTATGGAGAGCAGGTGTGACCTGCTGGCACCTGAGGCTGGAAGYGCTTCGGTGTATGATGTACACAGACAAAGAGCCCCACTCTGTGCTGCAGGAAGGCGCAAAGGTTTCAGGGGGGTGGGAAAGAGAGGAAGAAGGATGGGATGTGGCCATGTATTTAATCCACATGAAAGATGCCTCTGAGGATGTTGTTCTGTCCTTCCTGTCCGCATTTTGCTGTGCTGAAGCAGCTGAGTCACTTTGCTATGGTGTTCCTGCTCCTGACAAGTCAGCTACAGGCAGATGAATTTCAGGTTGTATTCACCAGTTCCAGGAGTCATCTCCTTTTGCTCTGTCCTGAGCAAAAGGTAAGAAAAAGGTGACAACACTTTGTTCTTGAAACAAAATGTGTTGGTTTGGTCTGGCACCCCTTGGATGTGGTAGCTCCCAATACTGCAGGAAGAATGACAGAAATGTGTTTGCAATTGCTCTGAATTCCGGTGCATTTGCACGCAAACGGAACTGCAGGCATGGACAGGCTTGGAGCTCTCAAGGGATGGCTCATTTCCTTGGAGGTTCAGCAAAATCAGGGAAGGAGTCACTCTAGCAAGCAAGAATATTCGAGGACTGCAGAAAATTAGTAGCAAAGCCTGATGAAGCCCAGGTGTGCCCCCAACTCAGGTGTCACAGGGTTGCAGCTGGTTGTGTCCCAGGCAGGCAGGAGACCTTGCTGAGACCGCAGCACAACTGAAGAGTTGCTCTGGCGTGGCCTGGCAGGGGCTGCAAAGTTAAAAGGCTTTGGCAGACATTCAGTCCATGATTGCCCCAGTTTTCTCCGTCTCAAATGGGTTATTGTCTGTCTTTCCGTTCCGGTTTCAGCAAGTTTCCCTTTTACCTTCCCCGCTGTGATGGTGGCGCRCTGATTCTAGAGCTTGAAAGACCCACAGGGAAGTGGTCTTGTGCTGAGTCAGTCTTTTACAAGCAGCGTTGCTGAAGAAGGATGGGAGGGGGCACCTGGACAGCGGGAGCGCTGCAGCCTGGGGCAGGTACCCCAGGAACGGGCCTCGGTCCCTGGCGGTGCAAAGGGCTGGTGGTTGCTGCGGGCTCCAGCAGAGCCAAGACGCCAAGGGGCAGCACTAGCTGCTTGGCACAGCAGTCTCTGTGTAACTATTCCAACACACGTTGGTTTTCCTGTTTGCTTTTTTTCAGGATGTCCTCTGTTGCATGATACAGAAGGTCCCTAACTCATTCGATGCCCTGCAGAGGAGGATCCGCAGAGCTCCTCCTCCCCRGAGCAGCACTTCCCTTGGACAAGGAAGTGCTGTGCCCAATGAACCGCCCAGGGCAGGCTGCAGGGCAGCCKGTCGGTCCCAGCGCTGCCTGTGAAACCCTCGCCCCGCGCTGGGGACCGCACTCCTGAGCGAGTCCGGCCTACTGCGGCGCGACAGCGTAAGGCAAGGCCTGAGGTACCTGCTCCTTGCACCTTGCTGCGTCTGTGCCCAGCACTCACGTCCCCTGTCCCCTTCACTCCGCTGTTGTCACTGTGTTGTCTCACGTGCGTATGAAAGATTCAATTCATGGGCTTTTAATACGTTGAGCCTGGGGGCGAGTCTGTATCTGCCGCCCTTTTTGTCTTTGGTTCCCAATTGGGAGTGACACGTTCTGGCTGGAGGGCCGGGGGGCAGTCTCRCACACTGCCTCTGCTGTGGCTCCTGCGATGCAGGAGCTGCTGCTCTGGCTCCTATAACCTTCACTGCATCTTCATTAGGGAGGGTGGGAAGTGGGGCAGCAGGGCTGGAGCGCTCTGATTCTTGTTTTTGCCAGCCTGCTGCAGCTTAGCGCGTGGGGGTGCTGCCGCCTGGCTACATCCCACAGCAGCCGGGGGAGGATCCTGCCCGGCAGTCACGGGGCTCGCAGCGGGCGAGCGCGTCGCGTTCGGCATCTGCCGCCTGGTTTGGGGAGCTGCTTTTACCCCCTTCTCTCTCCACCGTCATTTAGGTTTAGCCATCTGAACACTGTTCTTCCAGACTCGCCCTGCAGGAACAGGGATGTTGGAGATTTTCAGCYGCCACTTCCTTCTGCTTTGTTCTGCCCCACTTTGTGTAAGTGTTTGCCTCCCTTGTCCACAGAGCAGGTGCCTTCAGGCAGCACGCAGGAAGGCTGCACCGCGCTGTCATCCTCTCGTGGCCCATACACTGTTCCAGTGTCTCACTCTTCTTACTCTTTTTTTGTCCTTAAAGGCAGCAAATTCTTCTTGTGTTTCCCCGTTCATTCCAAGCAAGGGACTTTCTCTCCCCGTGAGCAGGACGGCACTGCTTTCTGAGGCGCAGGGGCAGCTTGCAGGGGTTGGGAGCTGTTGGCTCTGCGGCGTTTGCCCTTGCGGAAGGGCGGACGGAGGCAGCAAAGGGCTGCTCCGGGTGAGCAGCGCTGCGTAGCCGCGGCGCGAGCCATCAGCTCCCGCCGCTCAAGCGGGCACGCAGGGCCAGCGCCACCTTCGTGCCACCACGAGCAAACACGGCCCCACARAGGGGCGACGGGGCAGCACTTGGGGGTCTGTTCCTGCAGCTGCCAAGGCGTTTGCATCCATTCAGGTACCGGCTGAGCCGCGCGGGGAGGCTCTCCTGGCTGCTGGAGCAGGAATGACCGCAGCGATTGCACAACAGGGCAGAGCCTCAGAGGCTGGGCCGGAGCTGCAGGGACCTGCTGGGAGGAGGGAGCTTCTCCCTCCCGCCCCACGGGCAGCAGCTACCAGGGAAGAGGACACGCAAGAGGAAACAATTCTGTACTCCTAGGCTGGGAGGAGGGTAATGCTAGGAGGAGGGTTAAAGCATAAACAAGGCCTGGCCAAGAGCTGCTCATCAAAGCTAGGGCCCTTCCTGGCAGGACGAGGAGTGGCTTGAGCAGTGGTGCAGTAGTCATTGTAGGACAAGGCTGAGCTTATGTGAATTGTAGCTACCTGCACCATAGCGTCATTCCAGAAGTGCCATGAGCCAATCACTGTTATATCAGTACACTCGGTAACTCTGMGTTGAAGATGGCAGCACTCAGCAAAGACAAGGCTGGAGCCCCTCCTAAGGGGTATTTTTTCTTCCCCTCACTTTGAATTGTTAAGTACCCTTTGCATCCCTCCCCCCTTCTTGTAAAGGTCTTCCCCRTGGAAAAGATCCAGCTCTTTTTTCTCAAAGCTCAACAAGGTTCAAACACATTTTTAAATTTGTCTTGCATTACAGAAGCAGAATGAGGGACTTACAGCCTCATACACAACTAGGGGCAGATTATCAAGTCAGCTTTTTGTACTCCGTTTAAGCAAACAAGCTCCACCCTCCAAACTCACCAACAACTTTCCCCCTAAGGAAACTCTCCTATCAGGGCAGTTTTCTCACACCTGCAAATCCCTTCTGAGGTAAAAGCAGCGAAAGTGGCAGCCACGTCAATTATTGCCTTTCTTTGTAAAAATATCAGAAGTCAGCATTTGAATACTTTCAGCCTGGTGTAAAACTCCATTTTGTCTTGATTTAGAGTGCTGCATGATTACAAAGCAGTTAAAAGAAGACTACTGCATAAAATCACTTTTATTTTTAAAGAAAGTGGCAGATGGTTCCCTCAGCGCAGCCGGCGGGCTGAAGATCTGGTGATGGGAGTTGTTTTTGTGGGTGTTTCTTCCTCGGTTAATTCTGCTGCAAATTCTAAGAGGATAAAACGTGTGTCAATGACCAGCACCTTGAAATGGCAGCACGTGCAGGCTGCGTGGGCAGCGCTCCAAGGCCCTGCAGGCCGCCTGCCCCGTGGTCGCGCTTCCCTGGGCCCYGATGCAGGAGAGGGCCGCGGGTGCGTGTTGCACGGCGGCCCTCTGCCCACGGGAACGCGCGCGGGAGCCAGGCCGGCCTCCGTGGCCCTCTGCCCCGCCAGCACGCGCACGGTGCCCTACCCTCCTCAGAGCTGTTCTCCTCGTCGCTGGAGAAGATGAGGATGGGCTTTTTGGGTGGGCGCCGCTTCTGGGCACGCTTACAGCTTCGGGGTGCACGAGGAGGAGGTGTGACAAAGGACTCCTCGGCGGTCCTGTTGGCTGCGCTCAAGGGCTGCCGCTGGGAGCCTGCGGAGGAGGGAAGCAGGGGCAGCTCTGGCTGCCAGGGCAAGGAGAAGCCCTGGCCACTGCAGGGGACGTGGGACGGGATGGGGAGGAGCGGTGCAGGCCCACACGTACCTCCCGCTGGCCGCTGCTTGGCCGGCTCGGGCGCGCGSGTCCCGCTGCCTTCCTGGCCCGGCTCGGCCGCATCCAGGCCCCGGTTGTGCCGAGCCTGCAGCTTCTGCTCCAGCTCCTCCRCCAGAGCCTGCGGGAGGCGCAACACAGAGACACAGGGAAGGCAGAGGAAAATACCACACAACAGCACAGCCACCAGGATGCCTGCTGCTTTGTCAGGGGCTAGGAGCAGCCTCACTTCATATGGAAAACTGCAAGGCTTCCCAGTCCTTGGGTGTGAAAGCAATCATTGGTGTCCTAGCCTGGAAAGGACAAGGAAAGGCCAGGAAAGGCCTGGAGCCTTTCCCCCATCCTCACCTTAGACTCRGTCTTGCTGACTGCTCTGCGGAACCGAAGGAGCACAGCCTGGAAACAGCTGTAGACAGCCGGGTCTTGGAGCTTGTCTGCAAAGCAGTCAAAGTTATCCTGCAGCTTGTGAAGGCCCCGCTCCGTGAGGGGAAGCAGAGTAAGGCAGTGAGACAGATCCCGGTATTGACGCTCAGTCCTGGGGAAGACAGACTGAATCAGACGTGAAGGCACCAAAGGATAAACACATCACACACTAATAACTGAGCTGCAGCAAAGCAAGCTAAAGCTTGTGTTTCGTGGGGGAAAAGCACCCAGGGAAATACCTGAGTGCCACTTCCTGCAGTTCTGAGGGCCATTCCCTATCAAYTGCTTATCAAGGAACACTAATCCATAGATCCAGTGATTTAATTGTGCTTAGTAGTCCCTATCAGACAAAAACCAGTCACTATCCTGCTCGTGAGCACAGTCACTTGTTTAAAGTGCCAGAAGTTACTGTAAGCTGGGAGGGGTAAGACGCTCAGCCAGGTGAGGGCTCTTCCTGAAGGGCCGTATTTCAACCAAAGAACAGCGACAGAACAACCCAGCTGCTGATTTTTGTGTGTTGGAGGTAGTCTCAGGTCAGAACTGTACTTCAAGCCCCCTCTCTCCTGGCCAGTGAGAGGCACAGAAGTTGCAATTTTCCTTAAACACCAAGTGAGAAATTACCGGAGTGCGCTATCAAAGTGAAGATTAGTTTCAGATTTCAGTGGCAGCTGCCATTAATAATAATAAGAGCCTCAACTAACATATTTAACACAGTTCACAGTGACAGACGAATAACTAGACCAAAGCCCCTCTTACCACGATGTGCAAAGCAAAGGGCCAGAATCTGCCTTCCACACACTCTTTGAGAAGGCACCGTGCAAAGCAGGGGGTGGAGAACAGGGCTGCAGCCCCAAGGCCTTGCTCCCACACTTAAGCTCAATGACATTTGGCATGTAGCTATGTCTGGAACTCCAGAAATGTCAAAGAGGGAAAGGCGGCTGAAAAATCTTTTCCCCRAAGTTCCTGTTGTAGCCTGGAATGAGAGCCTGCCCCTGCACCGGTGTGCCCGTGAGCGCGATGCTCTTTGCGGCACGGGACCGCTCGGACACTGCTCGGCTGCCCGCGCGCGGCTCCTCACAGGTGCAGCCTGAGGAGCCCCGTAGTGCCCCGGGGACACCGGTGAGAGGGGGCTCACTCTGCACTCCAGCTCAGGAAACAAAATCCGCATAWCCCAATTCTGGGGAATATTCAGCTTCCTAAGGCAACTGAGCAGGTCAGTGCCCAGCTACTGGGTACACGTGGCCAAGATGAGCAGACACAGCTTAAGCCTCAAGGGCAAAGTCACAGGGAGGCAGAAGGGAAACCATGGGAATGGGTGAAGGCAGAGGACACCAGAGAGCAGAAGGACAAGTGAAGATAGTCAAAATATACGACAGAGAAGCACACAAACTTCTGTGATCTTCCTTGGGAAAAAAAAGAAAAAAAAGAGGGGAAAAAAAAAAAAGAGAAAAAAAAAAAGAAGAAAAAAAAGTCTGTCTGCATCAGCAGAGTTGGCCTCCCTGCTCTCCGGCTTTAGCAATAAAACCCTCAGAAGCAACGTCCCAGAGCCAGGGATGGGTCCTGAACCCCAYGTGGAGCACAAGGCAGGCAGGGGACGCAGTGGGGGTGCGAGTGCTTGGGAAACAGGCACTCAGATGAGGAGCCATTCAAGTTACATATATTTATTCAGGCATTTTTAGGTAGGAGGGAAAAAAAGCTAATTAAAAAAAGTCAACATTTGTCACCTTGCCACATGGGAAATATGCAGGGAGTCTGTTCAGCACCACTGTGTAGAGGTAAGTTTATTCTAACAATTCTTGAGAAACAGGTGACTTATTTGATCAAAACCCACCTGGCAGTCCGAAATCGCTGACAAAGTTTCTCCACCAAACTCTCTGTCTGCTTATCTTTTGTGATATAGGAGAACAAATGCCTGCAAAGTAAAAACAAAACTAAACACACACACACACACACACACGTATATACACACACACATGCCATAGGATGGTTGCATGATCCGACCCAGGGATCAGGTAGGTGTCCCTCCACATATGAGGTATACAGCGTGCCTGCGTGCATCTGCTTGTAGCTTCTCCAGAGCCAAGTCTTACACATATTTCGAACAGTGATCAAGGTCCCTGCTGGGAGACAGCCCCTATGCCATAGGGYAAATGCAAACAGCAGATGTGCACGAGAGCAGCTGCCCAGAGAGGCGGGTGTGCGGTGCAGCTCAAGCGGAGCAGCTGGGAGGCCCCTGCACGGCGCAGGGGAGGCCGCAGCGTCACCCTCCCAGCCGCCGCTCCGGCTCCGGAGCGCGCGGGGCGGCCGGCTCGGGAACGCGCTGCTGCCTTTGGCCTTTCTCCCAAGTGCTCCTCCTTTGCTATTTTTGTTTTATTTTTCCATGGCATCCTCACAAAAATTCACTGGGTAACCTCTCTATGCTTCAGAGGCACCTGGCCTCCCCTTTGATTTTTACCAGCATCTCCCTTAGCTTAATCTCAGCCAAATTGCCATTGCCCTTGATCTAACTGCTTTAAGTTTGTCCTCGCTTGGTCTTTGTTTCTTACATTTACAGCCAGCACACCAAACTTCTTCACTTTTCTCTTTTCAGATACAGAATGGAGACCCTGTCCTCAAAAGGCCTCCTCTGCTTTGGCTCCGGTGTCAATTCATCTTTCTTGAACCAAGCGGCCAGAACGGTGACACAGCTGCAGACAGTGTCTCACAGGCACTACCAGCACTTTCCTATAGGTAAGCTTGAAGGACACACACGGCTGCTTAAAAAAGAATTCACCCAACTTTTTAGCTGTAGCTTTATAGCAGGGGTTGAACAGTAACTTTGAAATACCTATTCTTTTTCTGCTCATTTTTTCATCTCAGTTTATTACTGTAGCCCTTACGTTCTCTACAGGTTAGTGCTTCTCTTAACAGTGATGCTCCCCACTTTTTGTCCATCAGCAGTTTTCACTACCTCTCTGCTTTTTCATGCCTCCTTATTCTCCAATCTGGCAAGTATCCCTGGAGCATAAGCCACTGCTTCCTCCCTAGCCTGTGCTTTTATTTGCCTGAGTTTAAAAGTTAAACCCTATGCTTTCCATTTTTATATCATGTTATACAGGAAACTAGACCAGTTTCAACTATCATTCTACAGCATARCACATGGTGTGCTAAGAGATGATCAGATCTACCACTTTTCTCTTTTGTAGAATTAATTACCTTCAGACTAATTCAATACTTGTCTTCTTTAAATCATCATAGCTTATTTGTCCTGTACCTCCCACTTTCCCTCTATATGTTGCTGGAAGTTGGTTAAGTGAATTTATAGCTGCCTTGACCACACTGACCCCTCCTGCAACCTAACGTGGCATCTATTCTCTGTGGTGATGTCTCTGGTAATACCTCCAGTTTCAGAATATTAAAAACAAAGTTTAAAATAAATAAAAATAAAATGAGAGCTGTGTGTCCTCTTTTTGTTTTTGTCATCTTCCCAAGGTTTGACTGTAAGATCTGCTTCCACTTCAGATGCTAACTTGCCCACACACATGTACTGTCAGTAGCCATATGTTGCCTTCCTTCCCATTTCACATTACGCGGCTTACTGAAGACTGAAGCAAAACATTTGTATATTCTTGGAGCCATAAATTATATTTGGTCTCAATTTCACCCGCATTAATAGCCCTCCTGTGTGCCTTGCAATTCCTGCCTTTCCAAAATTCCACCTCTTCCTCAATGCCTCTATGTCTCATGGATGGAAAGACTCCAGGAGAAAAATCCCTAGAGGTTCTAGTGTGCTCTGCATCCATGGGGATTCAGGCAACTCAGGAAAGAAAACTCACACAGCTAACAATATGAGATGAGTGGAAGATGTGTGTAATTCACTCACTGAAGAGGTTCTGTATTAGCCAAGCTAGGTCTTACGAAAAATTATGCGGACCTCAGTGTGCATACTTTGTGCTCCCCATAAGCAACAGATGCCCTCAGATTGAGATACTGTACTAGCTCTCTRCACGACAGAGGAAAGCTTCTTTAAAAAATAAGATAAAAGAAAATCAACTACCTCTACTTTCTACTCTTTTTCTGCTACAGCTTATTTAATACTACTACAAAAATCTGTTAGGCCATCAAAATGACAAAGAGGGCAGAAGTCTTTAAAGACTGCCGTGTTCTTTTCCTAATGTTGCATATTTATGTTCTACATGTTAAAACCAACAGGCTTTTCCTTTCCTAGAAGGAGCATCTTTTTGAAACAGTTGATGGAAAAACTCTTTATGGAGTCTCTCCTCGCCCCAACTGTGACTTTAGTGATGATTCCTCCATTTTAGATACAGCCTGTGAAAATGATCAAGGAGAAAAACTGAAAAGCATCTGTGTATGTCGCTGCAGTTTCTGTTAGCCCAGTCTGACACCCGCTTTGCACAGCCGGAGCGCTGGACAAAGGCGATTTTCTCCAAAATACCTCATAATAGTGCGGAAGGATTCCTCATCCACACCGCACTCGGGATCCGAGAGACGACTGATGATGTCCGGAAGCAGGTTGTAGATGGCGTTGCCCTGTGCGGGACACAAGGCTCTGCGTGACATACCCGAGCTCGTCCGGCTCCGAGGCAAGCCAGAGAAACTGCTCATCTAAAACTCCTTCTGTCCATCCCCAAACTACTGCCCGAAACCATCGGCTTCTTGAAACCAGCCATACTCGGCCAGCTGAACCCATCGGAGACTGCCAGGTGAAGCAAAGGGGCGACAATTGCTGCTGTTCTGTCTGCTTGAACTGTAACTGCCTCAGATTTAGGCTTGTGTCACACAGCCAAAAACCTCTGAAAGTGCTCAGAGGTGATATCTTACCTTAAATTGGGGAAGACAGCTGCAAGGCCTAAAGGTAAAGTGCAGCAAACTGTCTAGAGCCTGCACCAGATGTCCACACAAAAACAAAGGTATGTAGTGCAGATTTGGAGCCTGCCTTTTGATGTGAATGGATGAGGTCACTTTCAGCAGCATCAGGGTTAAAATAAAACTGATTTTGCAAGATTTCCTGTATTTGCCACCGTTTAGGCAATACAGAGGAGGGACAGAGAGCTGCTCCAGCTACTAACACACTTCCTCAACACTCCCAACTTGCCTCATCAACCAACCTCCATCAGTCCCTCTGCTCTTGTACACAGAGCTCCCCAAACATCCTCTTGCCTTGTTGGAGAGTTCGCTGAAGAAGTTCTGAGCCAGTCCCACGATTGCCTCCTCCGGGTCCATGAGCAGAGCTGCCATTTCACTCACTTGCCCCTTCACCTTTACCATGTCTTTGAGGATGAGGTGAGTCATGACCAGCCCAGCTGTCTGCCTCACATTTTGGCAGGGGTCCCGCAACCTGACAGGAACACGGAGTTACCACAGTCAGTAACTGAGTGTCTCGGAACTACCAGTACCCCCTAATGATCTGCTCCACAGCCCAGGTCCACCGTCTCCCTGCTCTGTTGTCTTCACATCTGGGCTTCTGGATCACCCTGACCTTCCAGAGATCCAGTGTCACCCATCCACAGTGCTCCCYGTCACCTGCGACCTCACCTGTTGCAAGAAGCACAGCATTACCTGGCGTAGAGGTGTGGTGTCCAAGGCTCCACCAGATTGGGGAAGCGGATGGCCAGATCTCCTGCTGCAATCATGAGGTTGGATCTCACTCCAGGCAGAGTGGACTTCTCCATCATGGTGAACAGCAAGCGCAAGTGGGAGTCGCAGAACTCAGAGCTGATGGGACAGGGTRGAGAAAAGAAGAAAAAGACAATAACAAAGTCCTGTCCCATAATTCTGAGAGGACTTACTATGACAAAACAAAAATTAAGAGTGCTCTTTTGTGTTTATTCTCTCCACAGTGAAGGAGCTGCAACATTTGCTTATGTTCTAGCTACCAGCGGAGCTGGAAGAGAAYGTGAAGAGCGATGGCTGGACATTACCTGATCATGCAGACTTTGCCTAGAGCCAGGGCGGCAGCAGCCGAGAGTGCTGGATCACTGTAGAGCCCGGGGTTGTTGCAGATCTTGAGCACCAGCGGAACAAAGGCAGAGATCAGGTGTTTGTCTAGACAGTGAGGAGGAAAAGAACAGATATATCTGAGCATGGCTCGGACATCCTTTTTTAAAATTTATTTTGTCTTTCCCAGAATTCCCAGAACTTTTGTGTAGTTCCAGGAATCCATGTGTAGTTGTGAACTACACATACTGGGTAGCTCACTTTTGCCACTAAAAAGACCAGAGGCAGAACAGTGAAATGGATAGTCTACAACAAATTTRACACTGAAGAAAATAATCTACAGCTCCCTTCTGAAGGGAAGAGTCTTCCAGAGCTGCTGTTTGCACCGTGTTTGCTCTTTCACATACAGCAGGCAGGGGCAATGTTCTCTGGTGGCAGCCACACTCACCATCCAGAAGCTCAGTCTCGCAGATACTGCGGATGAGCTCAGCCTCCGTGTCGTCAGCCGAGGCTCCCACGAGGCCCAGCTCCTCCTCCATTGTGGTCTCATTTCCAGTGCTCTGTGTAGAAACAAAGACTTTGAAGGAATGGGTTATGTTGCCCACCCTCCCCCTTAAAAAAAAAAAAAAAAACAAAGATGGAGAGTCTTAAAAGCCAATTTTCCCCAAGTGTGAATGAAGTCATGATGGGTGATTGGGAATTTGTCAGTTCACCTGCTGCAGGACACAAAAGGGGTCAAAAAAAAATTCTTAAGTTACTAAGGTGGGACATGACAATCAGTTTACCACCATGACCAGACTCCAACACATCTCAAGGCATTTGCAAATTCTAGARGCAAGAAAAATCAAAGCAGCCTTTGAACTGGTGATTTTGTGAACATGAATATGGAAAACCTTGTACCAGGGGAAAACAATTAACAAAGCCCACAAAAGACCACACACACAATACAAGGAAAGTGACAAGGGTTTTGCATAAAGGACCAAAATTGTATCCAGCTGCTCCTTCTAGAAAAATCTCCAAGTAACCTCCTCCCATGTGAGATATGGCAGTGACTAATGAGTAGGGTGAACAAGGAAATAAAGCACAGTGTTTCTGGACACAGCAGGGTAAGCATTTTACCAAGACTGAATATAAGTCATCAAGTCTTGAAATACAAGATACTTTCCTTCTCTCTGACCCAAGGAATCAGTCTCAATGCATTCTGGAAATCATTCTGAGGCAGACCTAACCAAACAGAGGGCTTCTATTATACTGAGTCYCTTCAAAGGGCTGCTGCTCGATACTTCATCGTTATGTCTGAGGGAGGTCAGGATCCTCAAGCCCTGCGGACTGAGGTTCCAGAAGCCCCTCTGCACAACAGAGGGTGCAGGCAGATGTTCTCTATCGCCTGCAGCTATGGCAAGAGACTGCAAGGATAAGAAAGGAGCGGCTGGGGAGAAAGAACATAATTACTGGGAACAGGAAGATAAACAAGGCCAGAACATGACCTTTCATTTCCAGTACTCTCCCTGTTCAATGCCCAAGGGTGGAGAGTTTTATTGAACAAGGTCAGTCAAAAAGATCTCAGCTCTCCCTGTCAGGCCTGACATGGTGCTTAGTTCTACACCAAAGCTCCCATCACCCAAGATCTCGCACATCCTCAGCACGGTGGTCCCCACAGGTTTGCCGGGGAGTAGCCAGTASCTGGAAAGAACTGCCCACAGGAAAAAGCTCAGTTCTCACCTGGGGTCTGTGTTTCTTTGCGCTGCCTTCAGGGCGCTGCTGCTTGGCCTTCTGCTCCTCGCCGAGGATGCGACGCCTGCRCAGCTCGGTGCTCACACACACTTCCAAATACGCTACCTGCTGTACGGCCACCTGGCCCACAAGGGACACCAGGTGCATCAGCAGGAAGGTAGGGAGGCTGCTCGCGCCGTCAGCGACACTGCTGGGAGAAGCCCCTGGCTCTGGCAGAGAAAAATTATTACAGTTCAGTGTCMATGTGGATTCCTCCCCACCTCAGCTCCCACAAAATCCCATCGATCCTACATTGCTTCCCCATGCTCCACAGACCACTTTTGCTCCACATTCTCATCCTCCCATACCAACAGCTTCATGAGCTCAGCTCTGCGCCCTCCCACCAGTATTCCAGGCTACCTGGCCATAGAACAAGAAGCCATGGGTGCAGACTTCCTCCAGCAGCCTCCTCACCTGCTTTCTGCCCATCAGCATCCTGCAGCTTCTCCAGAGCTTGCYGACTGCACTCGTGCAGGATGCGAGCACAAATCTCCTCTGCCCCTTCCGCCAGCTGGTAGGTAAGTGTTATTGCAGCCTCCATGAAAGGGATCCAGTGGCCACTGGGCTGGGCGAAGCCTGGTGAGGGAAGAGGGGCCACGTAGGTAGGACCCACGGCAGCCCAGCAGGGCCCGTCTCGCCCGCCCTGCCTCGCCCCCGCGCTCACCTTTGCTCACAGCCTCGCTCAGGCTGCTGAAGAGCGCGTGGCTCTGCGGCAGCCGAAAAGGGGCCGCGTTCCTGCCCAGCGCCGGCTGCAGAGGGAAGAGAGGAGTTAGCTACCCTTAGCGCGCAGCCAGCCGGGCCTTCCCCGGCACCCTGCCTGCCTCTGGGCTCGGGGCTAGGCAAAACCCCGGCGAGCTCRGGGCTCGGGCATCCAGCCCGCCGGAAACAAGTTACGCGCAGGGCCATCGCGGTCACTTTTGAGGACACTGGCAGTATGAGGCCGACTCAAAACTCAGCCAGAAGGAGCCAAAGCCAACCAAAACCYGAGCCAACCCGAACGGTTCTGCTACCTCCCTCCAAACCAAAATGACTCCTTYGAAATCATGTTATGTTATTTCCTCATTCTCCACAAGGAATGCTGGAGAAGGAAAACACAGCACCAAACTGGATAATTGGAGTTATCCAGTGTTTTCTGTAATGCAACAAGATGCCCTTGCCTAGGGTTACCCCAGAACCACAAGGTTTTGTTTCAAACCTCAAYTTGGGCTGACACAAATGCTTTGAATCACTTCCTCTGTAATTCAGATGGGGAAAAAGAGAACCCAGAGACTTATTAAGCCGAGTGTGACAGTGCCCAAGATATCCCAGGACAGCAGCAGCCGACTGACCAAGGTACTGAACTCGCCTGAACAAGCTACTGCTTGAGAAACTAACAGCTTTCAGCAGCTCAACACAAAATTTCTCAACTCACTGCAAGTCTAACCTCCCTACTGAACTCTTGGAAAGATGTTGGGTCAGGGGAAACCTGCCACAATGGCCCCAGTGGATGGGACAAAAACAGAACAGCTGTCCTGTATGAAGCAGGGATGCTTTATGCTAGAGGAACTCCAAAATCAAGTGTCCCAAGTGCTCAAGTCAGAAAACAGGGAAATGTTACAATTTYACAAGTGCATTAAAAAGAAAACAACAAGCTTACAAATTGCTTCCCAAATCAATAAATCATCTGACAGGCTACCACTCAAAACAGGCAAGTTTGAAAGCCTTTAATGTTTTATATCAAGTTGTACAGCTAGCAGCTCSCAAATATCAAGGAGGGCAAAAGAATCACACCACCATACCTAAAACAGCAGCAGGAAAAAACGGCTGCATGGTTGAGGGGAGACAAACCAGTTTAGAACTGCAGGCCTGAAGAAGGCTACTAGAAGGAAAAGGGTGTTTTCTTGTGCACTGAAAACTCTGAACTGAAAAGTTCTGCCTCCTTGCTAATGCACATATTTTTAACAGATGCTTTGTGGTAGGCTTTCCAGACAGTGCTGCTGAATGTCTTTTGCCCATTTTATTTCAAAATCCTTATTTTTTATGCTGCGTTTATCACATCTCTCCCTTCTCAGTATAAACTGCTCTTCCTCTTTCTTCCTTTCCAGACAACGTTTATTCTGACCTCAAGGACGCGCCAAGAGCCTCACCTTAGAATTGCTGGCAAGCTTGGAGATGGCACTGCACACTTCCTGAGCCAGGCGGTAGTCTTCACAGACCTTCTCAGAGAAACCTATGGTCACCAAGACATCCAGGTTGCTACCTATGATCTCTGGCTTGCCTCTGTGAAACGGAGGGGATGGGGGCTAGTATGTGAGTTGCTGCTGAAAGGTTACAGTAAACACGTACAACCAAGAGACAGATACTCTTTGTGCCGTGGGGAAGACAAAGGTTGAGTATGAGGAGGAAGAGAGAAAGAGCGAGAAAGAACACCAAATGACTTGAAATATAGCTATAGTTTCACAGAAACAAGTATAACGTGTATCCTGCTAAAAACAAAAACCAGCATCTCTGAAATTGAAAAATCTGGGCGTAATTCCTCTTTATAGAGAAACAAGATTTTTAACTCCTCTTTCTTATCAGAAAGCATCACAACTTACAAAGGTAGGGCAAAGAGAAACCTTTGAAAGTATAAAAGGGCTGAACAGCTCGGGTGAAATCTAACACCTTGTTCCCCACTGCGTGTCTATGGGAGGAGAGAAAGGCAATAAAACAGCCTGTCCCCCTTGTACAGCCAATAGAGTGAAGAGGGTAAGAACAGGATCTAACTCATTTAAACACAGGATTTGAAAAATCCCTAGTAGACACCCATAGGACAGATAGCTGTGTGTCACTCCATATAGTGGATTCATGAGAAGGGCACCCCAACACATACACGTACTTACCCCCGGAACTCACGCCATACTGCTAAAATCCACCGTTTTATTTAAATCTCATTATTGCAGGGAAGCAAAGTAACTTTGCATTTACGTCTAGAATTCTACTGAAAGTACCTGGAATGGGAAATTCCTTGAAAAGAATACACCTAATACTCAAGTTCTGGAGCTGGCTGTGACACCTGGAAATGGCTCCCCCTCTAGGGCCAAGAGCTTCAAGATCTCCACTAGGCAGGTCGGGTTTTGACTGATAACGGACCATGGCAGGCAGGACCAGGAGGCAGCAGCTAAGTTACACACTCAAGGGCTGCTGGGCTCGGGAACTGGGAAAACAGAAACCTCACRAAGTATCATCCTCTTGCTTATTCAGCCATCACGCTGGTGGAACCCCCTGCACCAGCGTCAACTCCAGCCTTCGCTCTCCCGAGATGTGCCTACGGTTTCGGAGGCTGCGAAAGCAGGGCCCAGCGGACGGAGCCCCAGGGCAAGGCCCTCTCCCAGCCCGCGCTCACCGCGCCATCATGCCCAGCAGCAGCACGGCAGCGCGGCGCTCCAGCAGCGAGCACGGACACTTCCCTGTGAACTGCTCCCACAGCAGCTGCGTCACGGCAGGCTTTAGTTCATCCTTCTGCACAAACTCCGAGATCTGCGAACGAAATGACAGGAACAAGTAGGGAGAGGCAGATGAACTTCCTAACCCAAACCAATACATACATTTAAGTGCAACAAGTACCATTTTAAATCCAACAGCGATCTAAGATCACAAATACAAACTAAACCCAGGGGAGAAAGTACTCACTATTTCCTCTAAGCACTGTAATGTTCCTAGCGAGGCGTCCACCATGATGAGAGAGAGGGACCGCACCAGGCTCTGGGCCCTTGCCCTTGTAGGGAGAGGGGTGGARGAGGCAGCAGGAGAGAAAGAGAGAGAAAAAAAAGAGAGGGGATGGGGGGGGAGAGAAAATGGAAGTGTCATGATTACTTTCCCATTCAGAGAGCTGAGGACCATTCTGTGACAGCAGAGTCGATTCTTGAAGATAAGAAAAATACCATCCCCACCATTCCAATTGTGGAATCCTCCACAAGCCCCCCAGGTCAAGTTCAAGCGAGCACAAACAGGCTCAGAAGCCCCCTGCCCCAGGCACGCTGCTGCGCTCGCTGCTCCTCCCGGGGCCCCACAGCGAGGCCCAGGGAGGCACTTGCCAACCACCTCCAGCTGCCCCAGCCACACATCAAAATACCCTTCTCCTTTGGGCACAGAGAAAGACTATCCAGTTCTGGAGGAATAAAGCCAGAGCTCAAACTGCAGGAAAGCTGTCTCTAGCAAATATTATCAAAAGGAATCAAGAAGCACAGGCTGCTTCTTGTGGCCCRGGTGATGGGCCGGGACATGGTATAATGCATTTTGGTGGGAATCACACTTATTTACGTCAGGGAACGTGCAGCTACCAGGATATGCACGTGGCAAGTGGTGGAGAGAGTGAAAGGCACGTGCCCAAGACGCAGATCCTCTCCAGTGGCAGGAAACAAGCACGCAAGTGGCACCCATTGCCTGCCACTGAAACACACAACAGCGATGTGCGACAAGTAAATACCCCAATAACATCCTCAGAGATGTGCAATATCAAAATTCATTGGAATGAATTATGAATGGAAACACCACTCTCCCCAATCGCTGAAAGCAAGGTCCTGAATAGAGTGAGCGAGAGTACATATTGAACACCAGCACTGAGACTAAAAACCCAGCACCCGAGCCGGTCAGCAGCAAACCTGAGCTCTTGTAAAGAGGGCTGACTGTTAAGTTCACAGCACACTGCTCACCACTCCTCATCCCAGCAACGACTACGACTCAGAAGGAGAAAACAGACAATGAGCAACAACCTTGCCAAGGAGGGTGAGTGAAGATTCTGATCAAGAGGTCACACCACAGCAACACTGATTGCCTGGGTTTGCAACATGTATCCAAAAATCAGCTGCTTGCTGCCAATGAAGAATCCAGCTGACATGACAAACTCTCAGCAGTCGCACACAGCGACCCTACCAGATCATCTGGACAACCACATCCTGATGCTTGGTCTGGTGCTTTGTGTGAAACTAGGGGCAAGTGAAAGTCAACAGAAAATTAAATTTGAGTGACTGAATCCAGCTTCCTTCAAAAAGTTATCAGCTTCCTCTTCCATCAGCTCTTACACCTAGTTGTGCTGTATTAAACTTCTTACACGCAAACCCTAAGACAAAGCAAGTGCAGAATCTCAGCAGCATGTTCCACAGGAACATYAGGATACCTGGAAGAACCTCTGAAGCTGCACAAGTGTTAGTAACAGCCCCGAGAGAAAGCCTCTTTACCAGCTGATGCAAATCACACGTTTCAGCTCGCAGTGAAGTGTAGCAGCTTTGATTTACTTCCTGGCTATACCCATCCCAATAGCTGCCCAAAGGAAGCAACACAACCCAAAAGAAGGGAGAGAGCATCCTCACAAAGAGCCCCTACCTCTCCGAATCCCCAGCAGGGCTGAGGTAGAGCCGCCTGTAGGCGCTCAGCACGGCCTCCTTAACGCCAGCCTCCTTGGACCACACGAGGGGCAGCATCCTGCGCACTCCGAGCACTGCCTGCGGCACGCTGAACTGCGACACCGTCACAAAGAACTCGATGGCTTCCTGCACCACTGCAGAGGGAAGAAGAGTTACGTGAATCCGACTCCTTCCTTCTCCTCACCACAGGCAACACTAAAACAAATGCCTAGGCACACAGCTCTCACTGCTAGCCCTGAAAGCATCTAAGGTTACAGTTCGTGTCTGCACAAGGCTAAGGTCAGAATCTGGACATTAATACRGAGATCTAGATGCTCTAGATGTTAACAGTGTTAGAGATTGATACAACACGATATATCTAGGAACAGAGCACAGAGGCCACATTTGAGAAAGGACAAAATTTTATTCTGGAGAACGGCAGCTGCAGAAGAAAAGATCTCACGCTCACAGCGGATCAAAGCAGCTGAATGTAAGTCCCAGCCCAAGGCTGTGACAAGAAGAACTAAGCTGTCCAGTGTGGGAGATGATTCGCAAGAGAGCCACAGTAATTACGAGAGGGCTTATGCAACAGCCTGTTTATAGACCTCTAATAGGCTTATAACCACTACGGGCAAGACATCTGAATAAAGAGAATGTGTGCCTACGGGATGAGTATTTGTATTCAAGACAAGCGGTAGGCTTCCCCTTCCCCAAACTGAGAGAGAAGGCACATATTTATAAAAGAAAAATAAAACCTAATCCTTACAACTTCCATCTTTGAGCAACTTGCTGAGCACACCCATCCCTTGAGACCCCCACCACAGCAGCACATGACTGCTGGAGAAGGAACAGGCTGGCTGGCCTTAGCCCAAGTGACAAACTTCTGACATTATTACACAGGGTTACTTGGTGCAGACAGAATGGAAATTTTTGCCAAAAATCTCTGAAAATCCAGACATGCAACTTGCCTTCCCTACACTATAGGATAATAAAAGAGGGAAATGGAAAGCTAGTAAAAAAGGTCCCCAACTGCTAAGAAACAAAACAAAAAGGGGTTGAAGCTCCAAGCTGAGGGGCACCGTCCCAGCTTTCAACTTCAGCTGGTTTATAAGGAGACCGTGCCCAGGCATTCACACTGGTGCTGCTACCAGCCAACACAGCCAACAACACCCAAGCCTTGAAGGAAAAGCTGACACATCTCCTTTGGGTAAAATAGGAGTGAAGTGACCACCAATGAAATCCCAGATGGATTTGCACAAAGCTCTGGAGAACAGCAGGGTGCTGTAGTGCTCAAACTCTCCCACACAGTTATCTCACTATGTGAGACAACGGGTAGGGAAATGAGAGATGAGGAAGTTTTTTTTGTCTTAAAACCCTGTCCTAAGTCGAGCATAGCCACTAAATCACAGCCCCAGGACAGCACTCTCATGCCTCTGCCAGCCACCCTTCAGATGGTGCCGCTGTTTCACCACCCCATGAGCCACTACAACATCTGCTTAAAGGGCTGGCACTCTCTCCAGCCTCTGGAGCCCTATCACACCTATATCTACTTGAAAGCTCATGGGAGAGACCTGGAAATTCTTAACACAGAAAAGTGAACATAGTGGCCACTTCGCTCACCTGAGACAGAGTTTTCATACATCATCTTGCTGACGAGACCCAGGGCTTCTGTGATTTTCACTGAGAAGTTGTAAGCATCTTGCAGATACTGCACCAACATCTCCTGCTTTACCAGATCTGTTTGAGGCTGCTCTTCYAGTGCACCATCTTTGGTCACAGGACTACAGCTGCCACGTGGGGGATCCTCGGTTTTCTCACCTGGGCATAAACCTGCACATCAACAACATTTGTAATGTGAACAGGTTTGGCAGGAGGAGGGATAAGAAAAACTAGGAGTAAGTATTATGTGCTACCACCTGCTCAGAAAGCAGAACTAGGGACAAATCCAGACAAGACAGGAAGATGCGAGTGGATAACCACAAGTTCACTAACTTCAGCAGATGTATGAGCTAAGAAATATGATCTTAGTAGAAAAAACGGGACTACTCTCAACCAGTAATGAAATGRGACTAAATATGGCCCATCCAAAAGGCCAGGTCATTGTAACAGCAAACAATGCAGGGCTGGTATAGCCCTGCAAGTTGTTAAGTACATGCAGACTAAGCCCCAGAGGACAGCTTCTGACAGGGGACACAGCCTTRTGGACATTTTCTGGTCTAGTTTTGGTATCAGCTTCGACTTAGACAAGACTAGTTTGGAGTACTTACCTGTGTAGAGTCTTTTCAGAACATCCAGGATTGTAGCCTCCTCGTTTCCCTCTCTGGGGCCACTGAAGGGCTCCAGGTCCTGGAACTGACACAGAGCCTTCTGCGTAAGGCGAACTGCATCCCTAGATAGTGACATTGTACAACAAGACATCAGCAACAAGATAGGCGAGAACACAACAGAAACCATCACACTTTGCCCTGGACACACGGGAAAGCAATAAAGCACCTTGTGTTGAGCACTCATGGATCACTCTGTAGCAAAACATTGAGGCAACTTAAAAGTTTTCCTTTATGCTCAAGCCTTCTGTGAACAGAGGCTGACACATCACTTTGGATAAAYCCTTTCTCAACCCGTATAGACTCCTTACTTGTAATTTAGCTTCCTCAGCAGGCAAGCAATTCGCTCTGATGTTTCCTCTGCAGTTGCCTCCACTTCCAGCACCTCTTCTTCCTCTCCCTGCAGTGGTTGCAGGAGTTCCTGCACGACAGTTCTAATCTCCGGCAGCATCGCTTCCCACTCTTCCTCTGGGGTGACTGTTGCAGCTATGAAGGAAGGAGGAATTCAGAGACTCAGATGACATCTAAGGAGGGATGAAACTCTTCTGGAATATAAGAAGATTTTTTTCTCCCCATTTTTTTCTGTCCCCATGTTTTTGGGATATTTTTTTCCTCACCAAATTCCACATGCAGGCACTATTCCCACTACTGACCCATTCAWGCTGGAGTAAGAACAGACAGGAGACTCTTTGCAACAGGAGAGAAAGCACTGAAGGGAGAAACGACTGCAGAGAGAAACATAACGTGCTTCTTAACAGCTTTGTAGGCAGCAGAAGCTCCAAAGCCATCAGTGGCAAATTACCACTTGACCCAACTTCTGGCTCAAATAGTCCTTGAATCAATGATAACAGAAAYCTGGGAGAACGTTCATAAATATTTTCAGTTCTTGCCCTGAAGACAGGATACTTAAGCCAAATGGATGGYTGACCTATGTATGGTCATTCTTATGCTTCTTTCATTACTCCAGTATACATTAAAAAAAAGTTTTGCGTTCACTCCTGGTGATCAGGCCTCACTGTCTCACATGAGTAGGGTCCGAGAAAAAAGCCACTCAAGATTGAGAGCTAATACAAGACAGTGAAGAATGAGCCCATAGGGACTCCTGCTGTCCAGAACACAAGGAATACCTTGGGAAGGGGAAACAGGAAGAAGGGGAATTACCAGCTGTAGCTCTGCGCTGGTTCCTCATTTCTTGCAGCTTCTGCGCTTCTTTCTTGAGTGGTTCGACCAAGTCTGTACAGCTCAACTGCAGTTAGCAAGAACAGAAGAAATATGTTACTTTATCCTTTATTTCCTGAAACTGGAATAACAGACTTCAGCCACCATCCCAGAATGGAATTTACTGCTGTAAATTGCCAGTTTTAAAGGTTCAGAAGCTCAGGAGAATATTGAGCTGTTCAGTGAGTTATACCTCTATCCTGCATTTCCTAATGCCTAATCCTATGGAGAGAAAGCCCACGTTTGATTCACATCAAACCAATGTTTTCTTAACAATAAAGACRTTAGGTTGCTAAAGGCCAAGCAGGCTGTCAATTGCACCAAAAGATAGAAGAGACAGGCAATGCAATACCCAAAGATGGGAAAACTAGAAGGCTCCCACCTGGTAAGTCAAGATTATGCTGGCCTTCCAAGAAGCCAGTGAACCCAAATCTAGCATTATCTAGCACGATAACAACAATTACCTTGCAGGAGAAGGGATTATTGGACAAAAAGGCAGCCAACAGCTGGATGGCATTTTTCACCACCACCACAGATTTGTCTTTGAGACGCCCAACAGCCAGAGATACCACGGACTGGAATCGAGTCAAAGGCAGGGCCTAGTGCACAATAACAACATTGACAAAGGTAACCAGAAAGCCTAGGTATGCAAACAAAACATCACTTATTTTACTGCATGTATATATTATTAAATGTACACACTGTCCTACTTTATGTACTGAAAAGCACAGATCATGGAACTTAGAAAGTCTGCGTTTTAAGGGACTTAACAACATTCCCCTATTCCCTTGACAACATCTAGAAAGAGCTCATGGACYGTGATCTTCCTTCTATTCTCTCCAGGTAACGAGAGGCAGCAGGCACTTTCTGTCCCCCATTCCCTAAGCCCTAGGCACCTTCAGACTCTCAGGAAAAGAAAGGAACATTGGTCACCATACAAAATGCACACAGCAAATACCTTTCCTGGTATTGCCATTGAAGAAGGTAACAAAAGTTTCCATAAAAAAAACGAAAAGTGAAGTGATAACAGAGAGAACATCACCTCCGCAGCAGGGCCCTACCTTGCACTGAACGATGCGAGTGAAGAGCTGCAGCACCCGGCTGCGCACGAAGCCGCTGGTGTCACAGACGTGGGCCTGCAGGATGTCTAGGAACTGGTCCCGAGTACCCCGGGCACCKTCCTCCAGGTTGTCGCCGTTCAGCACCTTCAGCAGGGCTTCTGTCACAGCCGCCAGAACGGCATTCCTCATCATGTAATTCTGCCAGAAAAGAAGGGGGTGAATAAAAAAAAAGGCAAGAAAGACCTGATATGCAAACGGGAAGGATGGCCCAGAGCTTGGGCCTTTCAAGTCCCAGGTTACAGCCCTGAGTTTAATATGAAGGCTGTAACAGAGAATCTATTTATCTTAGGCAAACATGGTGCCTACCAGGTAGAGAGAGAACAACATCCTGCCCTGCTGTCCACCTGGGTGCAAGGACTGATATCAGAGACACTTACAGTTTTTATGCACATTTTAATACAAATAACACAACCAGAACCATTGAACTCATTTGTATTGAAGAATAAGAGACAACAACTAGGATCTCAGACAAGGGAGCACCATCAARTTTTATCTAGTATATGGAAATGAATGCTTAAGAGTTGATGTCATGGTTTCTATTTTTTTTATACTTTTTTTCTGAAAAGGGAAGAATTTATCCCAAAGGGCTAGCTTCTTCATCTCTGTGAAAAAAAGTTCTATTTTCTGACAGAAAAATTAGCTAGCACTGCTTCAACCATTCAGCTCCTCTGGACAGGTAAAACGTACCTCCCCATCCAAGTGACGGAGCAGAACACTCATGTGGGACAACACCACAGCTGGGATTTGTTCAGCCAGTTCGGTTATAAAGACAGCATAACCCYTGACTCCAGAAGCATCACGGGCCAGATCCTGTGGACATTTCTGTCCAATTTCCCTGCATAGAGAGATGGAACAAGGAAAASGGTGCCCAAGGTTGCCAGAGGTGGAAGTACAAGCCTTGGGGCACTTTTCTCACCTCAGCAGTTCTCCCACCATGCTTTTCAAGCCATACTCTGTAGCCCAGAGGCTCACAGCCTGAGCAAACGCTGGGGCCACATGTTCAAAGTGCTGTAGCATCTGCGTGATCTTCAGAGTGGCACCTTTCACACATGAGGATGGTGAAAGAGATCAGAGAAAGTAACTGGGAATTACTTCAGGAAGAAAGAGGAAAGGCAGCAACTCACTGAACATGTGATCATAGTGAACCAAAGCCGCAGCAAGCAGATGGGTCACTGCCTCCCGCGTGGCTCGATGCTTCTGCAGACCAATGCTTGGATTCTCCAGGATACGGTAGCAGCTTCCAGTCATTAAGCTAAAACCACAGTAGAAAGACAGTCAACCTCCTCACCATCACACCCATGCCGTTCCAGCAAATCGCCCTAGCTAAGATTATCTCAAACCAGAGGCATTCTCCAGCATCCCTGAGAAACTGAACCACGAGCATCTTAATTTTAGAGACCTACGTGAGGAAAGCTGTTCCTAAACACTTGCTTTTGCCCAACAGCTCTTTACTTAATCTCCCAGAGATCTGCCATCTACCATCTGCCAGAGAGCTGTAATACTAGCTCACAGGCAAGCTTAACAATTAACTCCTTCCCCACAACCCACTCTCACCCAACACACCCTTACACCCACTCTATCCTGTCACTTCCCAGCAGTCCCCTTACCTGACAAATTCTTCTTCCACCACCAAACTACTCCAAAGTCGGCGGAGATCAAGCTGCAGCAGCTGCGTGAGCAGTCGTATGAGTGGCTCCCTCTCCTCTTCCCAGGCGAATCCAGAGGCTTTAGCGCGGTTCTTCTTGTTCTGAAGAGGGAATTGGGAAGTAACACAGCTTCACTGTTTTCCTTCCCTTAAGCATGAAGCTGACTGTCAAACTCTAGAGCACCGGGGCGTATAYAGAGATGTTTAAGAAACCTACATACTTATGTCAAATGAAAGTCGCTGTCATCTTTGGCCACAGAACAGAGCCCTTGAGAAAATACTGTCACATTAAGGACTCGCCAGCCAGTCACTGAAGAGCAAATAGAAGTCTGGGTACTTCAGTCCTTGTTAACATTTTAAAACGTGTTGTCCCTCTGGCTGCTTTCCACAAAGGCGAGTGCTCCATGTTAGGTACCATCCTCGCCTGTACCATGTTTAAGTAAACCCAGCACTGCATCAATTCTCAATTCTTGCTGAACTGCAGAGCCCAACAAGATTATATCCACTTCCACCTTGGTTTTTTTCCCCCTCAGTCTCCTCACCTACCTTTCCACTAGGATCCAGCTCCACCAGACCACTCTTGCAGGTTTCCATTTCAAAGGCCTCCACCAGACCGGTCAGCAAATAGCAGTTCATCTTGAGAGCATTGAGGTGAGCAGCGCGGTCCGCGTGGCTCAGGCCAGAATCACCCAAGACGGCAGGAAGGTCGTTGGAATGACGAGAGACCACTTGAGAGATGTTGAAAAATCATGAGCAAACCCGGCTGGGCCCCTCAACAACCTCCCCCTTCTCGGGCTTCGAGCAGTTATCAGATTACCAAAGATTTGTGCTCACATCTCACCGGCTGTAATGGGCTGCACCCCACAACCCAAACCACGGAGACACTCGCCTGTCCTGTTCCCACCRCCCGCGCCGGCTCCGACGCGCTCGCTCGGGGCTGGCGCGTCCCAGGGACACGTCGCCCTGGSACCCGGGTATGGGGAGCTGATGTCGGCCTGCCCTTACAGCGAACACGCACAGCTCCGCGTTGTCCACCAAGATTACAGACCCGTATGGGTGGAATGGGCCGAGCGCGCAGCCCAGCTGGTGAGTCACATTAGCCTTTATATCATCATCGAGCTGCCGAAGGAGAACGACTCCTCTATCGCCGCTGCAGCCCCGCGCGGCACATACCCACCTTGCACCATCAGCTCCAGCGCGTCCTCCTTGACAGCGGCGCCCACGGCCTCGAAGTGGCTGCGGAGCAAACGGGGCCGGTGAGGGCGCCAGGCGAGGCCCGGGGCCGCCTCCCCGCGCCGCCCCCTACTCACTGCAGCAGGCTGTAGAGCGTGTCGAAGTGCTGCAGCACGGCGAGCGCGCCGCGCGCCCGAACCGCGGCCCGGAACGCTGCGGGACACGGGAGGGAGGCGGAGCCGCGTGAGGGCCGCGCGCCGGGCCGGGCCGGGCCGGGCCGGACCCAGGCGGCTCCGCCCTTACCTGCGAGCGACGCGGCCAGCTCGCGCGCGGGCAGCACCTCCTGCACCACGTAGCCGCCGGGCCCGCCGCCGCACAGCAGGTCGCCCGGGGCCAGCGGCAGGTGAAACTCCCACGGCGGCGACGACGACATGGGCGACGACATGGCGGCCGCCGCCCGCCCGAGCACTCAAAACGGCGCGCGCGGCCAGCGCCCGGCCCGCCCCTGGCCTCGCCCTATCAGCGCCCGGCCCGCCCCTGGCCTCGCCCTATCAACGCCCGGCAGCCCCGCTGCGCGCCAACCTCTTGCCCAATGGCCAGCGCCCTTCTGATCGCTAAGGCGGGGCCTGGCGTGACGCCGGCGCTTCCCGGCAGGCCCCGCGAGCGGCGCGGCGGAT